GCCGCATTCCTGGCCCCTCTCAGCTCCGGGAACCTCCATGTCCCAGGGGCCAGGCTGGCACAGCCACCCGTGGCTCTGCTCCAGGAACCAGGGCGGGTGGGGTGGGGGCGGGGGGAGGAGGGTCGCAGGAGGGGCTGCTCAGCGCAGGGAAGTTGTCCATGGCCCAGGCCCAGGCCTGTTCGCGGTTCAGGCCCCAGGGGCAGGGTGGGCTCTGGACACACACACCGCATCCAAGATGGGTCTTCCAAGGTGGATGGTTGCGCTTCCATGGCTTCAGCCTCCTGAGCCACGGAGAGGTGAGGTGGGTGCAGGGGAGGAGGGAATCCACAACAAGAGATTCCTGCATCTGGGTCTCAGAGACTCCGGGGCTTTGGTACAGGGAGCGGGACCTCAGATACGCAGAGGACCGGCCCAGGTCCTGCCAGAGTCAAGGCGAGGACCCTGAGGAAACACTAATGGGACTCTGGATGCCACAACAGAGGGGACCCCACCAAGGCCCTCCCCCGCTGGTCCACAGAGGGGAGAGCCCAGGCCCTGCTGGAGTCAACCTTGGATGCAGAGGTGAGGTCCTTAGGCCTCCATCAGGCCAGGCCGGAGGCTAACAACCTCACAGCGCCCGCCCCTCCCCCACTTCCACTTCTGGTAGTCCCTCCGGTCGTGATGGCCCTAGGCTATTATTAGTATAAATTATGAACATTTTACAAAAACAGTATTATTAAACCGATTTTAGAATCAAGAAAATTGAGGCTGAATCTATTTTGAATCTTACCTATCTGACTTAAAGTTCATTTTAATGTAATAGTGTTTATAATGGCATTTCCCCAAATGTGTTCCTCAGCGGATAAAGTGTGAGACCAAAGCTCTCTGTGGTCACATCAGTGTGAGGACCGAAGTGCACTACCTGTCCCTCTTGAAGAATCACAATGCACTTAGGATATGAAAGTTTTTATGAAGGTCTGAAAAAAAGAACTTCATTTCATTTTGTTTATCTGAGTACTTCACAAACTTTAGTAGACTGTCAGAGGCTTATTATTATTATTTGTAAAACATTTAGCATTTCAGGACATACTTTGAGAAACTTTGTCTTTGAGTATATTGGGGGATCCTTATTAATCAATCAGAACTCAACTCATTTAGAATCCAAGAAATAGAAACCTTATTATATACTCTCAAGTCAATGTCAGAATGAAGGTCATGACTCATTGGGTTATGAAATAAATGAAGTGGATCTAGACCAGTATTTGGGAAAATAAACCAAAAACAGGAAACAAATAGGATAGAAAAATATAAGGGATGTTGCATATATAAGTACTGAATCATGAAAGTTGTACTTGGTTACAATGGGAAAAACATTTCTTTCTGTGGTCATGGCCAAAAGTGTCTATAAAGTTTCATGAAAGTCACATTATTGTGGCAGAAGATACAGTGATAACAAATGTCTGAACTTTGTGAAATTAACACAAAAAGGACTACTGTAATGTCATGGCTAAATATAGTATTTGTTATTACTTAGACTTGGAGAATTTTAGAGCTGAAATTTCTCATAAGGAGAAAACCAAAATAGAGTTTTAGTGACTTGTCAAGGTCAGAGAGCTGTTAGTTGGGCCTAGAACCCACTCTAACATTCTTGTCCTTGTCAATGTAAATTGATATAATGTTTATTTATGGAACATGAGTATTATTTATTTAATGAATAAGGAAGGGAGGCACAAAATCAGCAAATCACTCCTAGATAATAAGTCAATAATAGGTTACAAAAATGCTGAAAGTCATTTAGAGATACTTCTGTGCTGGGTCTAATTATAATTATGACTAATAACTAATTAACCTAATCCTCCCTGTTACTAAGTGGGGCCATTCAGTTATCTGCAAGTGTCCTGTATATATGATTTTGACAAGACAGCAGGTAACACATGAGTGAACACAAGATCTTGCTATTGGAAGTTAAAGATGCAATCTATACTAATAAAAGAGTAATATGCTAATTAGACCAGGAGACCTTCCGGACATCCTTCCAGACAAAGCCATGGTTGTGGGGCCAAGGCAGAGGCAGTTAGGGGTGATCAGGCTGGCAGGGGGGGTGGCAGTTGGGGGCAAACATGCTGGCACGGGGGCATTTCGGGGTGAGCAGGCTGGGGTGGGGGGGAGTTGGGGCCAGAAGACTGGGCGGGGGGGCAGTTGGGGGTGAGCAGGCTGGCAGGGGGGGCAGTTGGGGGCGATAAAGCCAGCAAGGGGGGGGGCAGTTGGGGGCAAGCAGGCAGGCAGGTGAGTGGTTAGGAGCCAGCAGTCCCAGATTGTGAGAGGGATGTCCGACTGCTGGTTTAGGCCGGATCCCACAAGGTTGGACATCCCATCCCCTGAGGGGTCCCAGATTGAAGAGGGTGCAGGCCCAGCTGAGGGACTCCCCTCCTCCTCCCCGGGTCACTAGTCCTTAAATAATGAATCAAAGTATAGGAAACCCTCCAAACTTACACTTTAAAGAAAACAAAACAAACAAAAAAGAAGACAAGGAACTATGACTTAAGGAAGCACCCCTTAGTAAAATAAACGTTAGCTTCTACACATTTCATTTCAGGCAGGCTCCTGCAAGACTCTGCAGTTGATGTCCTAACGACTATGCTTAAATTTGTGCCTCTTTACTCCTCTTTCATGGTCTTTTTGGGAGGGAGTTTTTGTTAGAAGCTTGTCAGCGGAGGTTGGAGATATGTCTGGTCCTCTTCCATCCCTCTGCCCCCTGGAAAGCACCCTCGGGAGTCCACCCCAAGAAAGTGGGCCTGGGTTTCGTTGCTCAAGCTCATCTCCTGTCCCTTCAGCTCAGGCAAGGTGTCATCTACTCCCTGGAAGCTCTTCGGCCCAGATGGAAAGAGTTTTATTTGAATCTTCATTTTGGGGGAGTGGAGAGAGACCTGTCTCCTTGGGATTCTCGGGAAAAACCGAGGTCTTCAATTGTTATCAAGGGGGAAGCCGTTCTTTTTATAACTGTTGACAAACCCGAACAGGTTAAAACAACCTCGTTTTGGGGGCGCGGGCCCCCCCTTCCCCAAATGTGGTAGGGCTTTGGTTTTTTGTGGGGGGGGATTACCCCCCCAAAAAAAAAACCGGTGGTTTTGGGGTTCTTCTCCCCCTGCACGTGTGTTCCCCCTCTGGGGGGAGCCAAAGTTGAATTATTTTGGGGGGGGGGG